TCGCTGGGGGATACCCCCAGACCCCCGGGTGTTGGTCATGAGTGTTTTCGATTTCGGAAGATGCAGTGGTCTGTTGGTCTGGTCGTCAGTCTCGAGCTGGTCGGTGTGTGATAAGGAACTCTGATAAGGTTAGGTCCACCGTGGTTTGGCGTGGTAGCCCCCCCGGTAAGCAACAACGTTCGACGACAACGTTCTTTACTGCCGCCGGAAATTCAAAATTCCGTAAAAAAATTATAAATCGTCGTTGTATTTTTGTGGGTGTCTAGCAGGTCAGTCACCTCGAATGACGTTCGCCGTAGTAATAGTATTTGGGGTCTAGCGGGTCAGTCACTTTCCTCGACTTTGGTCGTAGTCACCCTGGAAGTCAATCCGACAATACTCGACGGCTGGGGAACGTCATCACGTATGCAATCCGACTGCGTCGAATCGCGGACGACGTTCATTACTGTTACCGAAAAAGCAAAAAAAGTAATAAATTACTTGAAAAGTATTTAAAAAATTTCGGACGTCCATGCAAATCATATAGCCGCCGTCGCCAGTCGCCAGTCGCCAGTCTCGAGCTGGACGGTTAATGGGTGGTATGAAGGTCTAGTGATAAGGATTTGTGGTACAAATTAGTGATGAGGAAACTGGATTTGTGATAAGGATAGTGGATTATTGATAAGGATTGTAGATAAGTGATAAGCATGGTGGATTTGTGATAACAATTTATGATAAGGATATTGGATTTGTGATAAGAAAAGTGGATGTGTGATAAGGATGGAGGATTCGTGATAAGGATAGTGGTTTAGTTAACCGGATACCTGTCAAAGTCTTTTCTTGGGGGTCTAGCATGTCAGTCACCTTCCTCGATGTTGGACGTAGTCACCCGGGTAGACAACGTGACAACCGATTCGATGCATCGGTTATATAATTTATGTGAAAACATGTTTTGGGGTCTAGCAGGTCAGTCACCTTCCTCTACGTTGGTCGTAGTCACCTTGGTAAATATGCGATTGCTGATGAACATCATCAAGTATCACAGCGTTGTTACATGTGGCCCTTCAGGGATCCAAAAGCTGGTGTACTTTGATAAATAATAATAGTCAATTAGTATGATAATCAAATGTATTATATTAAACCAGACAAAACAAGCAGAATAATAGTGTTGATTGTAGCGAATTGTAGCTCGTTCCGAAGTTGATAATCTCCGTGTAAGTTGTGTGTGATGGCTGGGCGGCTAAGCGAGTCGTGTGTTGTTCTCGTCTCTGGATACATCTAATTTGTATTGAGGCCCTAGCCTCTATATATACGAATATACGAAGGCGACGCCCTTTGAATTGAGCGGCGCGTGGCATGTAGGCGCCCTTGGGAAGTTGTTGTGATCCGAAGCGTCTATTCTAGCTACGACCACTTTTGGGTGTGGTCGACGAGGCCGCTTTCTACATAAGTAGTACTTGTTATTGTGAGCGTTGTACATGAATTGCGTAATCCCATTACAGCGTCCATTACTGTTAACGAAAATGCAAAATTAAAGAATAAATTACGTGAAAAAAAATTGTTATCCGGGTAGGCAATCCGACTCGATGTGAGACGTAGTCACGGTAGACAACGTGACGACGTGTGACGGCCGGTTCGATTGTATTGGGTGTAAAATTCACGTGAAAATATGTTTTGGGGTCTAGCAGGTCAGTCACCTTCCTCTACGTAGGTCGTAGTCACCCTGGTAGGCAATCCGAATCGATGTGAGACGTAGTCACCTGGTAGACAACGTGACGACGTGTGACAGCCGGTTCGAGGATTGGGTGTATAATTTACGTGAAAATATGTTTTGGAGTCTAGCAGGTCAGTCACCTTCCTCTACGTAGGTCGTAGTCACCCTGGTAGGCAATCCGAATCGATGTGAGACGTAGTCACCTGGTAGACAACGTGACGACGTGTGACAGCCGGTTCGAGGATTGGGTGTATAATTTACGTTAAAATATGTTTTGGAGTCTAGCAGGTCAGTCACCTTCCTCTACGTAGGTCGTAGTCACCCTGGTAGGCAATCCGACTTCGTCGGATAGCGGATAATGTGCGACGGCTGATGAACGTCATCACGTTCATTACTGTTACCGAAAACGCAAAAATAAAGAAGAAATATTTCGGGCGTCCATGCATATCATATAGCCACCGCCTTTTTTTGGGTGTCTAGCAGGTCAGTCATCTATGTTATCCGGTAGTCAATCCGACCCCGTCGGATAGCGGACAATGTGCGAAGGCGGGGGCACGTTCATTACTGTTACCGAAAACGCAAAAATAAAGAAGAAAAAAAAAAATAATAAAATAATAAAATAAAAAAATAAAATAATAATAATAATAAATAAAATAATAAAATAAAATCATTTGAGGGGGGCTGTATTGAAGCCTGTATGTTATAGTAAAAGCGACACGACGCACGACGGCGGCGTTCTCCGCGGTGTCGATCGACTTGATGTTGGTCGTAGTCACCCGGGTAGACAACTTGACGATGTGTGACGGCCGGTTAGAGGGAATCGTGCCGCCGTGATCTGTTGAGTGTCTAGCAAGTCAGTCACCACCTTGATTGATGATAACATCGTTAAATGCGTAAGCAATCCGACTAAACGTCAGATAAAAGATCCACCACTCCGAAGCCGGGTCGAAAATGAAAATAGTATTTTTACCGTGCCCAAAAATTACTGATAAGGCCCGTAATCACTTACGAATAAATGAAGGTGTCCTGAAATAATAGCATACTGTATTTCCATCAAGAATTTCAGCGTTGCATTGCCGAAGGCGCAACGATATGGAAACGGAACTCGGTCAGCTGGTTGTGGTTTTGTTTCCACGCACCAACATGGTGTTAGAACCAATGTCTACCGTATTATGTAAACGAACACTAACACAACTAATACGAATGCGGATATAAAAAAGTTATAGGTATTCAAAGTACATTTGCGGTGTACGAAAAAAACACGAAACGCGCCATGATGTCTGTAGCTGGTGCAAACATATAGAATCAGTAGTTTATCTGAATATTATATAGTAGTAGATATTATTATAGAAGTTGTACTCACCGGGTATGTGAAAAGCGCCCAAAAGACAACAAAACTCAAAGAAAAACACTGAATGTTAAATAACACGAAACGTATTTGGCTTTTCCGTGAGAGTCGATGTGCGTTGTACGAGCGCCGATCACAAGAGGCAGGTCGAAACGGGCGCGCTTCGCGTCGACAAAGTTTCCCCCCCCCGCACTCACTCCATCCCACTCCGCGGCCCACTCGCATAATGTCGCGTATATTAACGGGCATATTATGTAGACAGTATCGTATAGTTTAGTCATATCATTATACAATTTACCTGCCAGAATTTAATTAAATACATTAAGTTATATTTTGTTTATTGATATACCTACAAAAACTGTAATACATTAAGTACCTACTACATAGTATATTATATACCATTGGAGTACCTGTGCCCAACTACTTTATTTACTAATTTTATTTCACTATCAATTCATCTACTTACTATATAGGTACCAATAATATGTTAGCTGAAATAATTTTTATAATATTATGTGTAGGTACTTTATTTATATTTTTGGCCCAATGAACGAAAATGTATACTAATATCACTATTAATTCATGTACATACATATAATATGCTTAAATTATATAACTATACTATTATGTATATACATAGGTACATCTATAAAATACATTAGTCATATTATGTAGGTACATAATATATATATCAATTTATTATTCATAAATTATTACATTTGATATTAAATAAATAAATAAATATACGTGATAGACCATAGACCTATATTATATTGAGTAATATCAAATTATGTCATATCATTATACAATTGAACCATCAGAGTATTATATACTATTTGAAAAATATAGGTGCGTTGTTCATGGTAAATGTGTCAAGTATTAACTAAATACTTATTATAAATAAATATTTATTAAATACTTATAGTATAGTCATATGATATGACTAAATTCATATAATTCATATTTTTAATATCACCTAAAAATTTAGTACCTACTACATAGTATATTATATATATATATATATATATTTATAATTTGTTATTATATACTTAGAAGTGAAATCCTCTGTTTCCAATACTTAGTTACTCTCTATTAGTCCATCAATGTTATGTACCTAGTACCTACTCATGGAGTACTAACCTATGACCAACTACCTTATTCAGGGCCGTAGCAAGGGGGGGGCAAGAGGTGCCTACGCCCCGGGCGCAATTCCTGGGAGGGCGCAAAAAATGAAAAATTGCATTTTCTCGGGAGGGCGCAAAAATTATAAATTTTAATTTTATGTTAAAAATTACAGCGGTCAGTGTTGTATATTTTATTTACAAAAACTACAACATCCTTGAGGTATATTAATTGAAGCATAGTTGAAAATAATATCTAATAATTATTATATATTTTATATAAAAGTATAAAACCAATAATAGTTAGTAAATACAATCTATCAATGTACAGGAAGACCTTACACTTAAGAAATAATTCTTAATAATTGATTAAAAATAATTACTATTTTATGGAAATGTGGAATTACCAATTATGTTTGCGTTGTCGCCGAGCATTTCATCTATTCTTATTTCTTATACATCTTATAATATATCTATTATTATTTATTATTAATATTGTTATGATTATGTCACAACAATGCGAAATGAAGGAATAGAAAAAACAATTGAATTCGGTAAAGTGATTGCAAATGATCTCGGTATTAAAGCAAATTTTTCTGATAAGCGAAAGAGGAAAGTGAAAAAAATTAGATTTCGAGATACCTAATTGAAGATAATGTGCAAGTTTTATCTCAACAGAATGAATTTAAAAAAGATATTTTTGAAGTTTATGATCGAATTCTTACAGAGTTAAGCAATCGATTCGAAAATATGTCAGAAATTAATGAAAATTTTGGATTTTTGTATGGTAGTAGCTTGACGGACCACTCTATGGACTATATTATACAAAAATGTGCAGATGACTTATTCTTTGAAGTATGAAACCGATCTAAATTCTTCCGATTTTAAGTCTCAAGCATTTTCTCTTTTACCTGACTTAAGAGCCGCAACACCTTTAGCCCTACTACAATTAATTACAACATATTCTTTGCGTGCTGAATATCCAAATGTCGAAATAGCTTTACGCATATTTTTGACTTTGCCAATAATTGTGGCGACGTGTGAAAGATCATTCAGTAAGTTAAAGCTCATAAAAAACTATTTGAGGTCGACTATGGGACAAGATCGAATATCTGATATGGCTATTTTATCTATTGAACATACAGTGGTAAATACTTTAGATATAAACAAACTTATTGAAGACTTTGCTGGGAAAAAAGCTAGAAAAATTGCAATTTAAATGTTACTTATAAGTAAAAATAATATTATTATTTATTATGTTACATCAATGTTCTTATAATAATTATGTATATTTATATTTTAATAAGTTATTGATTTAAATAAAGTTAACATACGCTTACATAATTATAAGGCAAAATCATTATTTATATTGCGTTTATAAATAATATACAGTGTTTAGTTTTTTTATAAATTAAAATACTTAAGGGCGCATTTTGAAGTTTCGCCCCGGGCGCAATATTCGGTTGCTACGGCCCTGACCTTATTTACCAATTTCACTATTACTTCTTCTAATTAAATTTTTACATATTACAATATGCCCAGTTCATATATTATAACACTATACCGTTTAACACACAATGCAAACTATTAGAAAAAGACATATTTTATATACCAACCAATACCAACCAATACCAATGATATAATTAATAGTAAATAGTACTTCATTTAAACTTTTAGACCAATGGACCAAAATATGTACTGATTTCACTTTGTACATACATAATATTATGCTTAAATTATATAAATATATCATTAGGTATAAACATACATCTATATAATAAATAGTACATAATGTATATATATATCAATTTGTTATTCATAATTTATTAATTTGAAACTCATAATTAAATTAATATACACTATAGACCTACCTATATTTTGAGCAATAACAAATTATGTCAAATACAATTTAACTATCAGAGTATTATATACTATCTGCAGCAGTATTTGTATCGTACCTCAACCAAACTGTGATATATTAAGTAGGTACCTACTACAAAGTATACATGTACCTAGGTTAGTAGTTAAATTGTACTTGCACTATTGTTTATTGAAGTATAAAGGAAACATATATGTGCGTTGGATAAAATCAAGTGTAAATTAAATATTTATTATTATTATTTATTAAATAGTTTAATAAGTATAGTAATATTTAAATACGTTAAGTTATATATTAAATATCTACTACATCAAACGATCAAACCTATCCATATAAATAATATCAAAGAGAGTAGTTAGGTATATTATAATAATTGTACAATTTAACTACCAGAATTGATTATAATTGATAAATGATAATAATTATAATGTCATATAATTTAATTAAACACATTAGATTATATTTTTAATATACATAATTTGACTCACCTAAAAACTGTAATACATTAAGTACCTACTACATAGTATAATATATATATATTTTTATAAAATGTTATTATATAAATATATCAATAGGTATAAAGATACATGTATATAATAAATAGCACATAATATATATATAACATAATATTACCAACAACTCAACCTCAACCAAACTGTGATATATTTAATAGGTACCTACGACAAAGCATACATGTAAGTTAGTTATTATTATCGCGTCGAATCGCGGACGGCGTTCATAACTGTCACCGAAAAATTTGAGAGGGGGTCAAAAGTACCCCGACTATGGGGGGACTATTTAGAGGGTCTTGAAACGTAAATTTTGGTGGTAAAACGGGGGACCCAAGTCTTAAATCAAGACATAGCCACAACCCATAGCCGTTTACAAAATACGGCTACGACGATCCCCGGCTAAGTTATGCTCGGCCAAAAAAAATTTGATTGGGGAGGGGGGGTCAAAAGTACCCCGACTATGAGGGGGGACTATTTAAATATGATAATACGGAACTGATGGAGAAAAGACGAAAAAAAAAAACGCGAAAAAAAACTCAAGATTATCACGGCCGCCGCAAATCTTCGATATAGCCGGGGGACGGTATCGAACCCACGACTCCTAGTTACATGTCCTAGCGCCCTAACCTATCGACTACCTACTCAGATGAAATATCGTGTCAAATCTATGACTATTAAGCCTCGTCGCCGTGCACCCGAAACTGGAAAGCGGCGTCCACGTCCGTCAAATGGCGTCCGAGCGGGGGGGTCGAACTCGTCGGTAAGGGGACGACCGTCTCGACCGGCTTCGGAAGTTCGATTCGGTGAGATTCGCGAAAAAAATCGATCGTCGGGACGCATGTATTTATGCCTGTATATAGCGATAGCCAAAATGTACCTACTCGGTACCTACTCTCGTTTCCGCGACGCCGCTCCTCCCCGGGACTCGTTTTTGAAAAAGTAGGACAGCTCGCCGACTACAAATTTAGCGAGGAACGCGAATAAGACGCAAACGGGGAGACCCGAGGCCCCCGAGGGGGGTAAAATTCGAGATTCGGTGGGATTCGCGAAAAAAATCGGACGTCGACACGCATGTATTTATGCCTGTATATAGCACACACACGACGTACCCACTCGGTACCTACTCTCGTTTGCGCGTCGCCGCTCCTCCCCGGGACTCGTTTTTGAAAAAGTAGGACTGCGGGCCGGCTATAAATTTAGCGGGGAACTCGAATACGTCTTCGGCGGGGAGGTGAAAAGTCTACAAACGAAGCGAAACGCGACTCTGTTGGAAAAAGTCGGAAAAAACCGTCGAAACGGCGACGACGCGGCGCTCTCGGCGATCCAATCGTCCACCGGGGGACTCGTTTTTGAAAAAGTAGGGCCGGGCGTCGACTATAAATTTAGCGGGGAACGCGAATAACATCCAAACGGGGAGGTCGATACGCCCTGAAACGCCTAAAACTCGAATTTTCGAAAAAAAACGGCAAAAAACGCGCGCGACGGCGACGCTCGTATCGCACGCGACGTCCGCCGCCGCGGGCCCGCCGGGCCAAAAGTAGGGCCGCGCGCCGACTATAAATTTACCGAGGAACGCGAATAAGGTCCGAACGGGACCTTCCGAGGCCCCCGAGGGGGGTAAAACTCGAAAATTTTGAAAAAAAATCGTGAAAGACGGTAAAAACCGCGAAAAGCGATAAGGAGGAGTGATAACGCAGCGACGGCTCCGCCGCCGCGTTTTCCCGCCATTGTTCACTATAGCAGTTGAGATTTAACGCATAGGGGGCGCCCTCGGTTTCTTGCTTTATATATAGAGAAGACTAGCTCTCCGAGCGTCGCTGGGGGATACCCCCAGACCCCCGGGTGTCGGTCATGAGTGTTTTCGATTTCGGAAGCTGCAGTGGTCTGTTGGTCTGGTCGTCAGTCTCGAGCTGGTCGGTGTGTGATAAGGAACTCTGATAAGGTTAGGTCCACCGTGGTTCGACGTGGTAGCCCCCCGGTAAGCAACAACGTTCGACGATAACGTTCTTTACTGCCGCCGGAAATTCAAAATTCCGAAAAAAAATTATAAATCGTCGTTGTATTTTTGTGGGTGTCTAGCAGGTCAGTCACCTCGAATGACGTTCGCCGTAGTAATAGTATTTGGGGTCCAGCGGGTCAGTCACCTTCCTCGACTTTGGTCGTAGTCACCCTGGAAGGCAATCCGACAATACTCGACGGCTGGGGAACGTCATCACGTATGCAATCCGACTGCGTCGAATCGCGGACGACGTTCATTACTGTTACCGAAAAAGCAAAAAAAGTAATAAAATACTTGAAAAGTATTTAAAAAATTTCGGACGTCCATGCAAATCATATAGCCGCCGTATTTTTTAGGGTGTCTAGCAGGTCAGTCACCTCGAATGACATTCGCTATAATAATAGGAGTAGGCTATCCGACTTGGACGGATAGCGGACAATGTGCGACGGCCGGTTCACGACATCACGTATGCATCCGACTGCGTCGAATCGCGGACGACGTTCATTACTGTTACCGAAAACGCAAAATAATAGTATTTGGGGTCTAGCGGGGGTCACGTGCAAAATAAATGGTATATGTCTTGGTGTCTAGCGGGTCAGTCACCTTCCTCGACGTTGGACGTAGTAACCCTGGTAGGCAATCTGACTTCGTCGGATAGTGCGACGTCCGGGTCAAGGCATGAAAACGCCAAATGACGTAAATCAAATATATATAAATAATAACATTTCGGGCGCCCGTGCTAAACGTAATATATTCCCCGTGATTTGTTGAGTGTCTAGCAAGTCGGGCGGCCACGTTTAATAGTTTTAGAAGTAGAGCGATTTAGAAGCGAAACTCGGTCAGCTGATTGGGATTTCGTTTCCCAATGGTCCTCCGAAAAACACGGAAACGTTTCCGCGCACCGACTTGATGTCAGACCCAATATCTCTCGTATCACATAATAGGCGGGAAGTTATCCGCTGATACCGCCGAGTGGATAGACGATAAACGGTCGGTGATAAGGCCTACAGGTTTGGCGGTATTCTGTCGAAGGCGGGAATGTTTGAAAACCATTTTTGCGTGTGTATCAATAAAATCGAGTGATGGTCCTAAGGCATTATTATGAACATATGAAAAAAATTTGCAAAAATGAAATAAGAACGATGGCCAAAAGTGTAAGGTTTAATGCCGTGTTCGAATGAATAATTTAAAACTATAAGATAATTAATTTGTCAATACAATAAATTAATTAATCGGCCGTGCGATATCGTTTCCCGCATGGGTTACCTGCCTTGACTCTTGTTATTGTCGCCGTTCTAAGACCAAGGACTGCGCCGACTTCCGACTTTAAAATCATTTCATTCAATCCGTCTGAACCAGAAACACGTGAGTATACATTGTATTATTAATTTAATTGGTGGCTTTTTAAAAACCTTTTTTACACCGCAGATCGTAGTTAATTTATCAATTAATATAATGTAACACATGCTTTCCGATTAACGAATTTAATATTTTATCATACCATCAGCATATAATAATACCGACAGATCACTTAAAGTTTCGTTTTCCTATACACTTTCTTTATTGCTTTTTATTCATCAACTTTAGAATGATTAACAATGCATAGAACATTAGCGGCAATTGCCAAGCGTTATAGGTACACGAGGTACATTATTTATAATAATATAAAAGTATTACTATACATTTTCTTTATTTCTTTAGAATGAGTATAATAAGAAACATTGGATTGTTTTTTAACGCGTCCAACGCGGATCGTATTTATGAATTAATTATATCTTATTATAATAATATATAAATTTGCGAAGAAAATCGAGTCTTAGTTTTGTCTG